ATAAATAATAATATATCTTATAATAATTAATATTACACTATAGCTCTTCTTAATATAAATAACAATAGTATTATTTATATTAATTAAGTAATTAGAAGCGTAATTAATAGTGTATATATATTTATATATATATATATCTAGCTAAAATTATAAGGTATTAATACCTCTATAAAGCCCTAAAAGCCCCTATAGATCTTACAACTAGCCCTAAGACCTATTTATTACCCGTTCTAGATAGTAATAGTCCTCACTTTAACTTTAGGGTGGCTGCATCCTAAGGTGATCTTTATCCATAGGTTTAACTATAGGTGGCCAGAGGCCCTGACTCCAGTATTTCATTCTTTTCTATTATTCATAGTCTCGATGGCGCAATGAACCCACTGTAAGACTCAATAGCGGTGGATAATATTTGCGCAGGCTCCTGGGTATAGATAGCGGCTCTAATAACACGGGCGGCATTGAGAACGCGCCTCTATCTCTTTCTCAAATCAGGAGGCATTTCTGTGCCTCTCTCATCAGAACTTAAATTGCCTTCTATTCGTACTCTTCGCCAAGCTTGAAGAGCTTTCCAGCCATGTCAGCGATACCGACCGCCGCAGACCCCGACCAGGATCCCGAGCGAGATGCGACAAGTCCGATTGCCGTCCGGGCGCCAAGCCCGATTGCCGGGCCGAAGCCGATGTTCCGCTCCGTGCCGTTTCAAATCCTTGTTGCTTGCGGTGTGTCATTCACGGCGCCCGGAATGTGGGATGCATTAGGCGGCCTAGGCGCAGGTGGGGCCGCCGAACCGTATGTGCCGCCAAAACGTATCATCCTTTGTTTTCATAACTAAGACTGTTTCCTAGGTATGCTGTCTCTGCAGCGAATGCATTGGTCTATGGTTTGTTTGCCATTGTCTGTGTGGCTGCTGGTGCCATCAACAACCGAATCGGGCTGCCGTACGGACTGGCACTCGGCACGATTGGCTACCCTCTTTACGGAGCAGGACTCTACATGAACAATAAAAGCGCCAATACGTGGTTCATGCTATTTGGCAGCGCCCTATGCGGGATATCTGCAGGCTTCTTCTGGGCCGCTGAGGCAGCTATCATCATCGGTTACCCGTCCCCAGGGGATCGCGCGTTCTACCTCGCCATCTGGCAGACGGCGAAAGCTGCCGGGCCCATTGTCGGCGGTGCTATCAACCTCGGTCTGAATGCCAGCAAAAAGACGACGGGTTCAGTTTCATCCTCGACATACATTGTCTTCATAGTCATCATGGGCATAGGCCTTCCAATCGCGCTGTGCTTGTCACCCCCGAATATGGTATGGCGTCGGGACGGTACTCGGATCACCACAAATGTCGGCTCCAGCTGGGGATCGGAGTTCAAGGCAGTCGGGAAGTTGTTCGCCAGCCGTAGAATCTTGCTACTTCTTCCAGCGTTCTTTATCAGCTATTTTTACAACGGTTTTATGAGCACTTGGCTGGCAACGTATTTCACCGTTCGCTCCCGCGCATTCTCAAGTTTCTTCACAAATTTTGCAGGAATCTTTAGCTCATTCCTCGTCGCCATTCTGCTGGATAACCAAAGGGTTTTTATCAAGACCTGTGGCCGCATTGTCTTTTCATCAATCATCGTACTTCTTGCCGGAACCTGGATATGGGCTACTGTCTTACAGAAGCAGATCTATGACGCGGACGAGGCACCTGCATATGACTGGTTCACGGGCGGCTTTGGTAAGAGCTATGCTCTTGTCTTCTTCTGGCAGTTCGGGGGCCAGGCATTCCAGCAATTTCTGTACTGGCTCGTTGGCCAATATGCCACAGATATTTCTGATCTGAGCAGACACACTGGAATATTGAGAGGCACAGAGGCACTGGGCCAGACCGTTGCTTGGGCGTAAGTGTGTTTCTTTCCTGTCCGGCCACTACGGCAAGACTTTGTAAATGAAGTCCTTCCAGTGGCCTCTCCGAAATACAACCCCACTGACAGTTTACCTACAGGATGCAGTCAGAAGGTAACGCAAATCACTTTGTTAGCATTGGCCTTAACTTCGCCATCACTATACTCTGCGTCCTTCCCACCTGGATAGTCCTCTCTGAACTGGAGGGGAGTCATGAGAGCCCAGCTAGCGCCGACGAGGAGGTCTCAGGCGGAGAGAAGACAGCTTGAGTCTTGGGAATTGCGGTTTACTAGCTGGGGGTACGGAATACGCTTGCAAGGAACGAACGAACATCTGAAGAAAGACTTGATACGGAAGTTGGTTGACTTTATTCAAAGCAAGCTTTGAGTCGCCCGCCTACCATGTAAATTAGGGCTCATACATCAACGCAAATGGAACAGCGACTGAGATTGTAGTTTGGGTCTACTGCAGCAGGAAGTCCATAACAGTGCATGATTCGGTAGTTACGACGTAGCCCCGCGCAGAAGGCTCACATTACATTCACCCAACATGCAATATAGCCACTACCAATTCAAAGTGGAGCAAATTTATCGATGCCGTTCATCTTAGAATTGGTGCGAAGACGCGCCCCAAGAATCCATGAAGCGATGAATTAAATCACATGGTCGACTTTTGCCTATCTTCTACCCAACGCCCAACCAGTTTGCCTAAACGTCACTTTATGCCCATGAATCCAAGTTGAGCACCTTGCAATGCGGCTCATCGGCCGAGCGCTGTACAAGCCGGCCCAGGCGAAGAACCTTCTCTCCCGCAGCTTCCAGTGACTTCACAGCTTCCTTCTCGAGAGCAGGGTCCACCGCCGCAACCATTCCTACACCCGTGTTGAAGGTGCGGACCATTTGGTACGGCTCAACGTTGCCGCTCGCCTTCAGCCAATTAAAGACGGCGGGCATTTCCCAAGACGTCAAGTCAATCTCAGCACCGAGGTGGTCCGGCAGCATGCGAGGCACGTTATCAATCAGCCCCCCACCGGTAATGTGAGCGAGACCCTTGACGAGACGACCTTCAACGACGCCACGGAGGCTCTTGACGTAGATCTTGGTGGGGGTCAAAAGACTGTCGCCTACAGTCTTACCTGCATCCCAAGGGGCCTCGTCTGTGTAGGCAAGGGTCTCCCTCTCCAAGATACGGCGGACCAGTGAGAATCCGTTCGAGTGGACGCCGCTTGAGGCCAAGCCAAGCAGGATATCACCTGCGGCCATCTCATCCTTGCGAGGAAGCCTCTGACTGTTGACCATGACACCGACTGCGCAACCTGCGGCGTCATAGTCATCCTTTTGGTACATACCGGGCATTTCCGCCGTTTCGCCTCCAACGAGCGTGCATCCAGCGTCGATACAGCCAGCAGCCACGCCCTCCACGAACGAGGCCGCAGTGCTCAGATCAAGCCTGCTGCAGCCGTAGTAGTCGAGGAACATCAAGGGTCGGGCCCCTTGAACTACAAGATCGTTCACGTTCATAGCCACCAAGTCGATACCCACAGTGTCGTGCTTGCCCATGCTTTGTGCAATCATGAGCTTGGTGCCAACGCCGTCAATGGCGCCAACTAGGACAGGCAACTGGCCCTCATCGAGCTGAAGACCGCACTTTGCCAGGTCCAGCTCACCACCAAACCCACCAATCTCGGCATCTGCGCCCGGCTGCTTGGTGGCCCGAACTGCCTTCTTGATGCGTTCAACAAATTCGTTGCCAGCGTCAACACTGACGCCAGCACCGGCGTAGGTCAGGGCCTCTCTCTGTTGCTGAGATCGAAACGCACGGTGGGCGATGTCCTTGCGGCAGTACATCTTGTCGAAGTTGATGAGTGGTATTCCCTGCTCATATGCCTTCTTGACGGCGGCCTCCAAAGAGTCGGCGGTGGCATTGACGGCTATGACACGGCCTCCCGAGGTTTGCAACTGTCCCTCTGAAGATAGCTTGGTTCCTGCATGAAAAACGCTGATGTCAGGTGATGTTGGCGAGTTGACTACCATCGGGGTTCCCTTAGCATAAGATCCTGGGTAGCCGCCTGCTGCCACGACGACGGTGGCGCTGAACTTTTGCTCGATCTTGACGCTCACACAGTCGAGGCGAGCCTCGTGAGCCGTGCAAGCCAGCATGATTTCGGCCAGATCAGTGTCCTCAGACAACAACGGAAGCACGGTCTGCGTCTCCGGGTCGCCGAATCTGACGTTGTACTCGAGAACCTTGGGGCCGTTCGGGGTGATCATTAGACCGGTGAAAAGGACACCTCTGAAAGGGTAACCCTCCTTGCGCATGCCAATTATCGTTGGCTCGATAACCTCATCCTCGATTTGGCGTATAAGCTCCTTGGTAGCGATGGTGGTCGGAGCATAGCAGCCCATTCCACCAGTGTTGGGTCCTTGGTCTCCGTCCCCAATCCTCTTGTGATCCTGAGCGGGAGGCAGAGACAATGTGTGGTTGCCGTCGCTAAAGGTAAGAATGCTCAATTCATCGCCTGTCAGGAACTCTTCGATGACAACCTCGTCTCCCGCATTTCCAAAAGCCTTGTCCACCATAATTTCCTTGAGCGCCTGCTGGGCCTCTGCTTTGGTCGTAGGAATAATCACACCCTTGCCGGCAGCCAAACCAGTTGCCTTGATAACAACGTCATGTGATATGCGGTCGAGATAGGCAACGGCCTCTTCGTAATTGGAAAAATTCTCGTAAGCGGCGGTCGGGATGTTGTGTCTCTTCATGAAGTCCTTAGAAAAGGTCTTGCTGCCCTCCATCTGGGCTGCCTCCTTGGAAGGTCCGAAGCAAGGAATGGCAGCGGCACGGAAGTAGGCCTCGACTCCATCCACGAGAGGGGCTTCAGGGCCAGGGACAACAAGACCGATGAGCTTGGACTGAGCGAATTTAACGAGAGTGGGATAGTCGTCGGCGGCAATATCGGTAACGTTGGTAACCTTAGGACAAGTCGCAGTGCCTCCGTTCCCGGGCACGGCGTAGATGGACTCGACCAGAGGCGACTGGCTCAGTTTCCAAGCCAACGCATGTTCGCGTCCACCATTGCCGATGAGCAAAATACGCAGCTTGCCATTGGAGGTCATCGTGACTACCATTTGGATCTGCGACAAGAGAATCTGGTCTAGAAGAGGGTAGGAAGTCCGTTGGTTAGGTGGCAGCTCGATAGAAGTGGCTATCCAGATGAAGTGCTCAAAGATAGAATGAGTTAGGGATGGAAGACAAGCAAGTCTCTTTTTCTTATTCCACCTCCACTGCCTGAAAGGAGGGGGAAGTTGAGATCCAACAAAAGAGAATATATTCACTTGCGACGCCGGCGCGAAGTATTTTGTTATCACAAAAAAAAAAGCCCCTCCAAACTAATGAATGGCGGGGTGACAGAAAAATGGAACTTGGGTGGGTTAGCGCGAAAATTTCAATTGGAGAATTCTCGTTACCCCACCTTCCTTTCCTGTAATGGCGAGGGAAGTGCCACTGAAGCCCTGTGCCCCCAAGGCTTGCTGCTAGGAGGATCCTATGTACCTTGTCAGCACCTGCAACCTCGATGAAACCAATAGGCTGTACTCTATATATGCAATGTTCAGCACACTTGAATTAAAGAACCAGACGAGGCAGCACGACGTTCTCCAACTCATCAACACTCCCGCTACTTATGAACAGGGCATATTCATTGTACGCGGCACTCAAAATCACGTCTCGACTGGCCACGTCCTCCAGCTGCAAGTCAATCTGTGACTGTTCTGGGCCAAGGACCTTTCTGTACCACTCCAGCGCCAGATGGTGCAGTCCAAGCATGTGGAACGTTCTTCCGACCCCAAAGAAGGCCTCTCGTCTCTCGTCTGGCGTTCCCGTGAGCTTTGAATGGCAAAACTCGAACACACAGGCGAATCCCTGCATGATCAGGTATTGCCGGTTGTCTGCCTGGCGCTTGAGGGCATGGTGAATGTATCCGAGTCCGACGCTGAGGCTAATCATAGGGTTCAAAGGGTCTAGAGTTCGCGCCCTGAGGAAGTAATCTGTAAAGTTGTCGGTCAGTCCATGCCTGCCTAGGCCCCGCCCCGCCAGACTAATTCCCACTTACTTAAAGCGAAGGTGTAGCTTGTGGATGTGAATAAGATATGTCCGTAGAGCATCAGTAGGCATATGTCAAGCTGCTTTGCCTCAGCAGGACTAGTAGCCTCTCGATGGTTGACCTCACGATGCCTGTCTACCTGACTGCTGGACAGATGCGAGGCATCGATTATCTTGATCTGCCGCAGAATATACTTCTGAGCAGGTCCGGAGTTGTACCAAGATGCAGGAGACTGGCACAACCTGCACAAGGCTGCGAACATACGGTAGGAATCCGAATCCAGCTGCCGAACCTTCATAAAAAACCTTGCCACAGCCACGCACATCTCCTCGTCAGCCAGATATATGGCACACGCTATCGATCCGTCAGCTATTCCGCCAACGAAATTCTACGCGTGACCAAGCTTACCTGCCCATGCCACGTGGATTAGGAACATGTAGTCTTTCGAGTTGACGAATACAATTGAGTCTCTCGCCGCCTCGCAAACCTGGTATGCCTCTTCGGCACGATTGGCCAATGCTAGACTAACTGCATAATCGAGGAACAGCTCGAGCCACTCGCGAAAAGGAATGCCACGGTAGCCATCATCCTCATACGCGACGTTGATCCTTCTGTCGTCCAAGATGGATGGGGTTATGTCTGTAAGACTACTTGTCAGCACTGGTGAAGTGTAGAAGAAGTGATCCTTGTACCCCGGGCAGATTCTTACTCTTCGAAAGCCTCTCAGCTAGTTCTGAGAGGCCTGATTGCATCCTAGAGGATGCACTGAAAACTACATCGTTGGCAGCACCGAGAAACTTGAGATATTTGTCCCAGGGATAGAACTTCCTGAAAGATCTGAAGTCGCCCACAAGCTCCCCAGCAGCGGCCATCCATTGCGGTATCAGTGAGTGATCACCCGCCTGGATACCCCTCTTCAGGTTGCGGACGACTTCATATCGCCTTGTCAGCTCATCAGCTCGGGCACGTTCTTCCTGTAGACGCTGGTCTGGAGCAACAAGCTTCCTGGGTCGATATCTGGCTCGGACAACCCCGTTGTTTGTGGGTCTGCGCCTCTGATCTCGCTTTCTTCGTGGTTTTGTGGCATCAGACACTGTTGAGGCGCGTCCTCGTGATCTGTTCGGATCTCCACTAACATCTTCCAGCTGATTTCCGCCATCGTTGATTCGATCCAAAGCTGCGGCCTCGCTAAGAAGAATGAGTGCCTCCTCTTCCTCCTTGGCCTTTTCATAGATCCTAGCCAGCTCGATGCGAGCGTCGATGTTGGTTTCATCTACTTGGATCGCCACCAAAAAACAGTCTTCGGCTGCTGCCAAGTCGGATCTGGCCAGATAGCAGCGGCCAAGCTGCAGAAGCAGCGTGGCATCTTGGCCATAGATGGAATGTCGCAGGAGTTCATAGTAATCAAGTGCCTCAGAAATGCGCGGAACCATGTAAAGTTCGTCGGCAATGTCCCGAATGAGATAGGGGAAATCCTGAACGGCGGTGGCTGTTGCGGATTCCGTTGGGTCCAGCCAGCGAAGGTGGAGCTGAGGGCGTGTCAGTCAGCGAAGCAGCAGATGAATGACACGAGACGTACATTGGATTCTTGGTCATCTCGAATCTTGAGCCGGTATAATGCGAGACGTGCCCTGAATTCTAGGGGTAGGCCTAGACCATATGTGTACAGGTCGTAGGCAGATGGATCGAATGCCGGAATCTGAAGACGACGAGTGTGTTCCCTGTCCCACTCTCTGTCATCAACGCATTCGTCCCACAGTCCTTCATTGCGTCGCCCGAGCATCCATCGAGATAACGATTTGAGTTGTAATATGGCGTTCGCATAGTCTCCAGCGCAGGCAAAGAGCTCTACAAAGATGCCGACATCGTGCCACGAAAGTTCGTCTCCGGCACCACGGGCTTCCGCATGCGCATGAGTGAAGTATGTTTGGTAGGCGGCGACAGCTCTTTCAACGTCCTCAGCGCCCCCCAGATCAGCGCAAGCTTCGGCTAGCCTTCTCACAATGCGAATGTCGAAAGGTCGACGCTCAAGGACATAGGAGAATTCGGCAATTGCTTGCGATAGAAAGCCTTGGGCTTGACTCGCCTCGGCCCTGCCCAGTCTGGCATCGAGATTGGTAGGCTGTGCTTTAACGGCCGAAGAGTAGCACATCAGTGCGGTCTTGAGAGCTCCATCCTGACCTTCTTCGGCTAGACTCATGGCAAAAGATGCGCAGCTCATCCAGCCTGGACCATCCTTGGGACGCAAATGCGCAGCAATAACCATGGCCATCAGAGCTTTATCGCTGTGTCCTTCCTCGCGAAATATGGAAGCCAAGACGGTCCAGGCTTGATGTGTTTCGGCATTAATCCTGATGATCTCAAAGACAAGATTCCTCGCGCGGTCATACTCGCCACTCATAAACGCTTGGTTGACTCTGGCGAGACGAAACTTGATGTCGCCTCGGGGTTCCGCAGCTTGTCGGGGACCCCGAATAGTAGAACGCGTCGCAGCCTTCGATCTCATAGCTGCTCGGGGTCTTCTGAGTTCGTGTTCATCCTCATCGTCGACCGTAACCGTTCCTTGATGGGAGGACAGGAACTCTCGAACTGACTGGTCAAACTTGGCTATGTCTCCACGTAGTTCCATCTCGTCCGAGTCGGCATCGGACACGATGTCCTCATCCCCATCATTGGGTCCAGTTGCGTCTCTCAAGCCGTAAGGCTCGAGCATGCCCGGAGCCGGCTCCATAGCAGTGCCTCGGAGCTATCCAGCGAATATACCGTCGGCAGAGTTCAAAATGTGTTATTGATAACCCGGCACTCACAAGCATCCGAACGCATGTATGGCGATGTCCGTCGGTAAGTATGGGGAAGAATACCTACTGGGAGGCGTGGGGCCCAAGTTCAGGTTCTAAAGGTAGTAAGTCGATAGAGTCCTGCCTGCCTTTCAGAGAGGTAAGGCAGGTGTGTCTCACCCAGATGGGTGCCCGGGCCCCATTTTTTCTTTGCGCATGAACCCCTCTACCTTACCTACATTGTAATCACACGGCGACCGGGCTCAAATTACCTGATGCAGGCACGGCCAGGGTGCATGAGCTTAGGAAGCTCTTGACATTTAACGTCTGCGCAACGATCATCTGTACTGTCGTATGGTATTATTCACTTGTCCACGCATCGGATCACACCCGAGATTAAAAGCAATCGCCAGTATTCGGCAGTGGCGCTAACAGGACCTTAACCTAGAGCGTCTCTCCACGTACCGCCTAGACTGGTGTGCCACCTTGTGTATATATACGTACAGAATCGCAATGGGTGCTAAACCAAATCTTCCAAACCTCCTTCACCTATCCTTCCCACCGACCAGCCAAGGCACGGACTGGTGCTACCGGCCCCGTTGTTTGCTGTTGTTTGTTTATAGCCAACAACAATCCTAGGTCCTTGTGCATTCTCAATCACCAGAAACGGGCATTCGCGTGTACAAACCATGGCCATTGTAGAAACCAAAACCTGTCATGTTAACCAAGCTTGCCGTCTGCCTTGGCGTCTATTTGCAGCGTCAGTCGTGAAGTCGTGGGTATCAGTTTGTTTAATACTCACCCTTCACCTGCTCGAACACCTTGAGCATCTTCCTTCTAGCTCCGAGAGCATTGACACCACGGTCTTCCAAAGCCTTGTCGTCCAGCTCGATCAGCTCGTGCCACTTCATGTCCTTGAGGTTTTCGGTGTATTTATGCAGACGAAGACTTCGGAGCCAACTAGGAATGTCTTGCAAAAGAGTAGGGTCTGTGGGGTCTTCAGGAGGCTTCGAACTCCCGCGTCGTCCTCTAGGAGATCGACCGCGCACCATATCGGAGTGGTCAGACAGATATCCCTCATGGCCTCCAACACCCAGCTGTCCCACGTTCACCTGAGGAATACCATTATTGAGGAGGGGCGAGGATCCATCATAGGCGCTGAGGAAACCGTTATTCTGGGGAGAGGCAAACGCCATTGGCCCACCAAAGCCCGGCTGCATCGCGATGCCGGGAGAGCTAGGGCGGGACCGGTGCTGACCAAAACCAATGTTCTGTGCCTGCAAGGCTAGCATCTGCTCGCGGGTAAGCACTTGACCATGCTCATTGATCATGACGACGTTGGCACCCGGAACGTTGACGCCTTGGGCGTTCGAGGGCATTCCTTGAGGCGCGCCGCCAGGGGCATCGTTCGAGCGAGCACGTCTGTACTTGCGTACGTCGTCCAACGCGAAGCGATTGTTGACCGTCGAAAGGGCCGCGAGCTTCATAGCGGTTGCGTTCGCAACCATGTCTGCTTGAGTGCCACTTTGCTGGGCACTGAAGTTGGCGACAAGGGGGGTGTTGACCATCGACGCCCAGTTTCCGCCGCTGGGATTGTAAGGAGATAGGAGGGGAAGATCCGCCGGCTTGTCACTAGCAGTTAAAGTGGTATTCTGGATGTTCTGGTTGCCTGAGATCTGCGGGCGAGGGGATCGCAAGCCGCTTGATGGTGGCGCTTGAAATTGACCCATCGGGGGTTGGCCGCCAGAAGGCTTGGCTCCCTGTGCAGCTTGTTCGGTCCCAGTCCATGGAGAGCCTTGGCTCTGTCCGTTCGAGTCGTGACCGTCGCCTGGAGCAGAGATGGTTGGGGCTGCAACTGCGCTGTTGCGGTTTGACGAGGGAGGCGCGCCAGTCTGCTGTGTAAACTTTGCCTTTTCAGTTGCGATGGCTGCGGCCGCATCGGGGAACATGGCATTGATGGTTGAGGGATCGAGACCCGATTGGCGTTTGCCAGTAGCAGTGCTTGAGGGACGGACCATGGAGTTCCTGGCAGAGTCGACGTTCAACTTATTCATGGCATCGCTAAGGCGGTTGGTCATGGGATCTTTGGCGGCGGGAAGTCAACAGGCTGCCGATAATGAATGAAGGGAGTTTGGGTAGAACAGCTTACCTTTATCGAAGTTGGCAGGAGATAAGACACCAGACATTGGATGGTTCTTACCCATCTGTTGGAGAACCTGGATGAAGAACCGAATCTGTACCTGAGTAGTCTGTTGCAGAAGAGCGTAGAGAGCAGCGGTGCGCTCGGCTTCGCTCAGAACCCTGAACCACTGCTCAATAGCACTCAACTCGTCCTTGAAATCCTGGTCAAGTGTTGCGGCCGCCATTTCCTCCAAAGTAGTCTCATACTGGTCGATGTCGGCTATCCATTGCTGCGCAATTTTATCTTGGGGGTCTGTTTCGTGGTTGCCGTGGCCCTGACCCTGCTGAGACTGGCCATAGAAGTCGGAGGATGGTCGAATGCGACTCGAGGGTGACGAGTTTTGAAGGGCAGCCATGTCTGCAGAAGCCCTCAAGTGGCTATTGGCAGGAACAGCCCTCGACGAAGGGGGTCGAAGAGAAGACGTCGTGTTTGCCTCGGGAGTACTGTTGCGGTTTCCCGCATTATGACTGCCAGACATGTTGAGCATGGTCGACAGACTGCGGAAAATAGGGGAGGGTGAAGTCGCGCAGTAGCGGCGAAGAGGTTGATGTCAAATGACGGCGGAAAAGTTGGCAGGTGGCAGATGAAACGATGCCGGTGGCTACGGTGAAGGGTGTCGTGTCTTTGTCTAGCGATGGAAGGGGGGTCGGCCCGGGAAAGGAGGGACCAGCGCTGTTTCGAGATTTCGAATGGTCCCAAGATCCAATCAACTCAATTCCAGTGAACGAATGCCGTTGGTGCCACTCCAGAGAAAAATAGGAAATCGGCTTGCGTGGTGCAAAACCCGAACAAGCGAATTGAGCAGCTGATCAGGCAGGAAAATCTTCTGAGGGTCGTTCAATTGAAGTTCAGGGGAGCCAAACGGCCTGTTCTTTTGTTCCCGTTTGGCAGAACTCCGAGGGTGCGGGAGGAAAAAGAGAAAATCGTATGGTACGTATTTGGTACCCAAAGCTCCTGCAGAAACCTGCCTGACCTCAAAGGAGTCGGGATTGAATGAGGAACCTGCTTAACACATGTCTTGTCGGTAAAGGAGGGATTTGGTTGAGAGAGCCCAGGATAGTGATTTCCTGAGGGTTGCCTGGTGAGCGAAATGGCGAGATGCTGGAGTAGTGCTGTCTTGAGTCCTGCCAAATATGGCGGGAAGGTAAGGCAAGCGGCGTCGCGCGTGCTTTGTTCTGTCGACAGCGAGTCCGGACGAGGAGAGCGGCGGCGCGACTCGCTCTCTCACAGATGTGAGGGTGTGAATGATAGTGAAGTGGGGGGGGAGGGAGGAGCGGGCAAGATGGCCAGAGAATCAATGCTCTAGCGAGCGAGCAATATTATTCAAGACGTGCTGCTTCCAGGCAGGTAATACGATATTCAAGGCTGGCGTCGTCTGAAGGTATTACCCGATTGAAGGGGTTGAGGAAGAAAAAGGGTGAATTGCTTTCTTTGGGTTTGAGGAGACGTACTCATGTGCCTGGGGTCCGTTCAGCAACGTGGCGTGGCTTCTGCTTAGTCATAATGCCTCAACATCGGGAAGTCCGCCGCAAAGCACCTATCTTCTTTTGTTCCCTATTCCCTGTCGCCTACTGTATGCAGTACAAATACGGACCAGACAGGCAATTCTCCGTGAAAGGCCTTTCTCGTTCTAGGTCGAGTTGCCGACTGACTGATAGGATGCAACATCACGTAATTGTAGTGCTTGAGAGGTTCGTCTCACATTTCCTGAGGTTTATAGCGACCTACTAGTGACGCATGATAGAAGCAGACAGCGTACCTCTGCTGCTTCTGACTGCAGTTTCTAGTACTTGGGTGGGTAAGGGACTGCAGACGCTGGACGGGGCTTCTCTATTGTGGTCCCCGATTCCTTCCTAGGTCTCATTCGTGATTCGGGGTATGAGCTGGGATTCGGCCGCTGAACCATGTGGAGGAATTTGCAATCGGACCAACCCAAAAGAAGAGCATCAGTGACGGGGACACCATCGAGAGCACTCAAAAAAGGGCAGAGTCTTCATTCTCTTGAAGGGGTCATTGTTCCGCAACGCCAACGGATCCTTCACCACCAGAAATTCTGCCCCTTATATCAAGTTGTCCTCTCGTGTGCATTTCGTTTTTACATCGTACCAATTACATATATGCTGCGAGCCAAGTTGACCAACATTCGATTCAATTTCCGTGTGATCTACAAATGGAAGAAGCGTGGGTAGGCACGTGGTAGGCTCTCGCAACTTCACGACAGCGTAGCCTGTCCTTCACTCGCCCACGTCCGACGTGTATATTCTCGAGGAGAGTTAGTCAGCCAGTAGTATGGGGAGCGCGGGGCTCTCATCCGAAGCGCAGTTGAGCTGGATATTCTCGCTGACTCTCTTGAACCACTTGGTAAAATACTCGACAGAAAAGGTGCACAACTAAAGGTTCAAAAGCCGAGGTTGGATCGTGGTTGATTGATTCATTTGCTGGCTTGAATTTTCGCCAGTTCCATTTAATTCCCTATGCCCCGTTGTATCGTAGCCATGCTGTAGAAGAGACCAGTACCCATGAACCCAGCGCTGCCCGTTTATGCCGTCTCGCGCTTGCCCTCCTTAAGCTCCTTCTGCCGAAGAGGTTAGTACTTGCTTTCACGAGTACGAAATGGGTCGAGTCGTAAAGGGGAGGCGTACGAGGGCCTTCATGGTGCCGTGCAGAGCATGACGATGGTTGCGGCGGAACTTGGGATCGGTGCCCTTCAGCGACGGGTATCTCGAGGTCTTGGGCTTCTTGATGCTAAAGGCAGAGAAAGAACTCGTTAAC